TTATGTCTTCTCAAGTATAATACATCTAACTTTACAAGAAGACATATTTACATTTTTAATATTAGCTTTAGTGAATGAATAAATAGTAAGCATTTCTAACTTGTCAGTCCACAGAAACCAGACAGATTATTTGTTGAGTAGCCAACATCATTGTGCCCTTTTTCTCTTTTGAAATGACCTTAATGTGGAATGTCACTACACTAGTACATTTTTCCCTCCACTCTAATCCCTCCCAAAGGACCAACTGTAGCTTACCATACCCCATTCATGGGTCATACTGATCTTAGAGGTGAATATATATTTTAAAAAGAAAATCTTTCCCTAAGAACACATTGGGGAACTCGTAGTTTAATAAGCCTGCCATAAAATTTTTTATTTATAGAACCAAAAAAGAACCTTTACAGATTATTTGATGAATGATTTTGTCATCGTACACATGAAGAAACTAGGAGTAGAGTAAGTGACTGCTCAAAGTCATATGGCTAGTGGGCATCTACCCTCTAGGCCAGTAATCTTCCCAATGCAATAAAAAAAACCATTAAATATATGTACTATGTAATACGTACTATAAGCTTCTTTGCTATGAGTCATCTTTCCTTTTAAATTATAGCAGAAAGTAAGTTTGTTTATTTCTACTGCCTGTCAATTTGCTTACAAAGGAGTTGTCATAAGAAGTTATTTAAAGGATATAGCTGATTTGCTTTGGGAAACAGCAGATCTATGTTATTTTCTCTTTTAAATTTCAACATTTGTTGATACCTTGGCAAATGAAGATAAAAGGAGAAAATGACATAAAGGTAAAATGACATTAAAAGAGACATAATTAGAAGGAGCTGATTTTAAATATTAGATGCCAAGAAGGTACACTCAAACCTGGTAACTTTTTTTTGACATTTTTCCTTCTTTTTTCAAAATAATATATTAAAGTATATATCCTTGTAAACCATTCAAAAAATAATTTAAAGAAGGAAATGAAAATAACAGTAAATAAAAATAGTAGTTCCAATTGTCTTTATTGTTTATATTTTATTGTATATTTTTAATAAATGTAATTTTAAAAGATGAAATTATTCTATACATTCTTGTTTTACTTTGCTGTTGTTTTTTACCTAGACCGTTTTTGATGATTACATAGTTTTCTTTTACATCATTATACTGTAAATTATTTAACCAATTATCAGTTTTTATGTATTTTTGAGGTTTCTGATGTTTTATAATTATTAACTATTCTCTAATGATACTTAGGAACAAATATTTCTGTGTATTTGCTGAATCACTTCTTGCCAATCACAGAGTATTAAAATGAGCTAGTATCCTGCCTTTGGTAGACAAACCCTGGATTTAGATTTTCCACCATCACTGATATCCCATTTCCCCAGATGCCCCTCATTAACATGTTTTTATTCTCCCACTTTTTCTAATCATCTCTTTCTTTATTGTTCATAATTGTTTATTAAATGTGCTGAATTTTCACCTTTAAGGGATGTTTTACAAACCATACTTTCCTAGCATTTTTAGATACTTCTGACCCCAGCCACATCTTCCTTTTTGAACACAAAATCAAGGAGTGCCCTATGTGTCCTTATTGCTCTATCAGGAATCTGATTACTTTATATAGAGTGTGAACCCAAGAAAGCAATTAAATATCTCCTTTATGCCCTTGGAAAAGCTAACAGTGTTCTCTGCAGCTCATTTTTTTTTTCTTTTGTTACTTCTCTTAACAATATAAGCATAAGCCCTCATACTCATATGAACTGAAATTCCTCAGTCTACAACCATACCACCCTGAACAGGCCAGATCTTGCCTGAAAATCCCCATTTTTATCAAGATATTTTAGTGTATCTTTAGAGACCTCTAGATGGCCAATAGCTTCTGGCAAAGCACTTTTCTTATGAGCTTTTTAACATTTTATTAAATTAATATTTACTATAATTCTGGCAGAAGATATTTTTATTCCTTTAATTTTCTCTATTGTTTGTCCAATGAAAAGAACTGGTTTTATTGACTGTCTTACTCAAACACCATATGCATTATGGGCAGTTTTTTTTTAAATCTGATGAAATTTCTAATTATATGGGATGAAAATTGTTTTAATGAGCTCATAAGTAAACAGACTATCAAAGAAAAGCTCTAATTTAAGTTTTCTGGAATAGATTCATCTTATACAACAAGATTTTTTTTCCTCCAGTGTTCCACTTTTTCTGTTTTTGCTGATCTGTTTCCCTCTTATGATTCACCAAACTAGAAAAACAATATATTTGTCTTGAATGTGAATATTTTTAGTAAAAGAGCAGAATGTTTTCTTTCTGTGTTATTCATTAATTATAGGAACTTGGGGGTGGGGTGTGTGTGTGTGTGTGTGTGTGAGTGAGTGTGTGGAGTATGTGTATGTAACATTACTAGAATCCTTGTTGGTTGAGAGCCTTGCCAGCTTGTATAAAGAGAGAGTAGGAAACAGGCAAAGGAGAGGGAAATAACAGGCATTTTATGATATTTAAGGACATGACAATGAATACCTTGTCAATATAAAAAACAAGCCTGCTTAAGATTAAACCCACTTCTATTTAATCAATAGTGTCATCTTTATACAAAAGAGACAACACACTACTACTACTACTCTCTCATTCTGCTTTTTTGGTTAATCAAGCTTTTTACCTAAATTAATTTTTCAGCATACTGTAGTAGAAACAACCTGGGTTTGGAGCAAGAAAGAGCAGCATTCAAATTCTACTTTACAGCTAGCCTGTGACAATGGACAAGTCACATACTTTCTCTGTGACTTATTTTTCTTTTGTATAAAATTGGTTTAATAATACCTCCGTTGTGGGGCTCCTATGGGAAGAAAATCCTGTAACATGGTGCCTGGCTGTATCGGTGTTTAATGATGACCTAGATCCCAGGTTAGGCAGCCTTTCTCCATACTCCCTGTGCATACCATTGTCAGAGCACTTCATCCCCTCCTGGTCTCATCTCTAGCACTTAGGACACTGCCAGCACACTAAATGAATGGAGTAAACACCTAAATTATATTTTATACCTGAAAATAGAAAAGTTTTAAAATGTCTTCTTAAGTATATTGTATGGAATCTATTGTAAAGTAGCATTTATACATCATTAGACTTGGGTATGTTCCCAGGGGGCCTAGGGACCCTGTGTCCAGTTAGAACAACTCACCAAAGATGAGGATCTTACTCACTTTGGTACCAGTAGAAAGACTGCTCAATTATTCACATCTGCCTTTGAGCAAGGTGTTACTATTCCCACCTTAATACGAGGAGATGCCAAGAGCTTAGGCAATTTTTCTAATGCCATATTACTAGCACATGGCAATATTACCATTTGAATTCTGCATTTCTTTTTTTTTTCTTATGTCTAGTACATTTTCCACAATATTAAATAAATATATTTGAAATACATAGTATGTGAAACATAGTGCCAATTAATGGTAGTTACTGCTATTATTGTTATATGAGAATGACCTCTCTTGAGGTTTGAGAATCTGCTCCATGCATGTATTATTAAAGCAATGTATAATGAACTTATGCAAACTTAGTTTTAGAATTGAACTCTCATCCATGACTGTATCAGTCTTGTAGACAGCTGCAGTGGCTGCTGACTCTGAGGGACTACTATTCAAAGCCCAAGGATTTTAAGCTCCTCCCTCAAGTGGCCCTTCTTTTTCTTATGGGGTACTGAGTAACTTACTTGTTTCATGGTCATCGGACTTTTGCTATTGACATTGTTGCTTGGTGGCTTCATTTCTCTGACTGCTGTTGATCTGCATGCTTCCACTGTTCCTGTCGCTACTACAGAGGCTGTGAAAGTTGAAATATGTTTTTACCACCGAGACCAGTGAATATGTCTCTATGTTAGGCTCTCAAAGGTGGTTGCCTCTCTGTTTGGGGTCCATTCAGTTCGTTTACAGAAGAATCTATGATTTCTTCTCTATACAATGGTTGGAGAAAAGATAGGATGATTGTCTTGATTTTAGTCTTCAATCTCTCGGTTTTGTTCTCCCTAGAACTTTTTGTTTCTGAGTCCTAGTTTCTCTGGGATTCTTTAAGATACATTCCTCCTGCACCTGTTTCCTAGGCCAGAATTTTGTTGTGAATCAGTTGCTGGTGTGCTGATACATTGATTCTTCTCAGCTTCTCAGAGAATGTCACCTTTCTTTAGCTTAGTATGCCATAGAAATAGTACCATTATGTGTGTTCTCAAACTTAAAAATATTTAAGAAGTACTGCCCTAAATTTCAGCTTCTTTAGCTCTCTTTTACCAATTATCACCCAACCATCTATTTTTTATCTTCCAGAAACTTGTTCAAAATCTTCATCTGATGGCTCTTTTCCCATATACTCTTCAACATTCTGAGTTTATACTGTTTGTAACTCTTTAATAGTCTCATATAGTTGGTTCTTGGGAGGGAAAGAAGATATGTGCTAAGATCAAGATGCCATTTTTAACTGAGAATCAGGTTTTTTAAAAGTTTAATGTTATTAAGCTATAACTGATTTAAAACAAACAGCAGCTATTTAAAGTGAGACAATGTGTTACATTTAACATGTGTATCCATTTGTGAAATCACCACAATCAAGGCACCTACTGTACCTATAGAAGCCGAGGCTTGGAGAATCCCAAAAGTTCAAGTGGGAACTCAGGCCTATCAGATCTCAAGGTCCATCCAGTAGGCTACAAAGCCTGAGTTTTGGTTAGGAGAAGAAAAAAAACAAAACACTATTTCTTATTTGTGAAGGAAAAGCACAAAATCTTTGAATCTAGATCTTTGAAATCTTCATTTCTTCAGAGAGAGAGTTGTACTAAATGATCCTAGTATCATTTTCAACTTTAATTCCTTTGCTTCATTCATTTTTCTTATGAAAAGGTGGTAAATCTCAGTTCAAATACCGTTTGTTTTAATTAAATGAAACTGCACTATTCTCTGTAATTTTCACAGTGGAACCATGTAAGACATTAAAAGCATATTTTTTTCTCTTCACAGGAAAGCATTTAAGAAATTCCTGGAATAAATTAGAGTAATATAGGATCTGCAGGAAATACCTCAAGATAATTGGTAAGGTAATAAGAATTTAGTTTTTTTCAAATGCACTGGATAATTATTTTTCTGACTATAAGCTTCATAGCCTTGTGCTCACAGGAGACATTTTCCTCAATCTTTAATTATTATGTGATTTTTAAGTTTACCAAGGGTCGAAGTTATAATAGTTACATAAAGCTTAGCTATATTCTTCACTTTTGCCAGAGAATGAAAATTTTATGTAGACAGGGATATTCATAATGATATAGACATAGACCTATGTATCTAATGAGCTGTCTTTACATTTCTTAGATGTAATCATCAATGACTAAAATGCCATAACTCAAAATACATACATCTAACATCTATACATAGGCTTATTATTTATGTGCTAAGTATATATAATGTTTTTATGAACAGTTGGAATCAAATTTGACAGTTCTAAGACCTGACAATTTATTTTCTACTTCTCTAATCCTAGGAAAAGAAGAATTTCTAGACTCTTCATCAAGATCTTCATTTATACAGCTGTTAAATCCAAGGCTGCTTTGGTGAAAGCATGAATAAAAATACATCTACTGTCATATCATCCAGTCTACTTGAAAAGTAATTTTTAAATTTAATGTTTTGAAATATAGTTGGAAATATATAGACTGTTAATGAACATTTGATTAAAAGTTTTTTTTTTTACATCTAGCTGTCTAATGTGGTCTAGAGTAGCAATAATGAGTAGTGAGTAAAGTAATACATTGAATTACCTTTCAGTGTAAATCAGTGTATGGGACAAAAACATGCATTCTCTTTAAAGTCATCTGCACAGGGCACGGTAGGGCATGCCTATAGTCCCAGCTGCTCAGGAAACTGGGACAGGAGGATGGCCTGAGGTTGGGAGTTTGAGGTTGTACTATGCTATGATCACACCTGTTAATAGCCCTGCACTCCAGCTTGGGCAACATAGTAAGATTCTGTCTCTAAAAATAATAAAAAATAAATAAACAATTATCAAGTACATTTTTAAAAACTCTTTTGTGAGATTTCTTTTTTAAATTTTGGCTTTTTAATATCTAGAATATTTTATAATTCCAGAAAAAAATTCATAATATAAGAGTAGCTCTTGCTACTCTTATATTATGGGTGGTACAGACCACCCTAAAGTCCCTTAAACCGATAAGAATTTATTATTTCTCATGATTCAGTGGGTTGGCTGAGCAGTTCTGCTCTATGCCAGATAATGTAGGATGGCCTAATTTACATCTTGTGAGGCCTCAGCTAGGAAGGCTGGATGGCTGAGGTCTCTTTTGAACTGGTCTCTCATTCTGCAGGGGCCTAGCTCAAGCTTTGACATGGTGGCAGAAGCACAGGTTTTTCCATTTTTCTCACATTTGCTGGTATCCCATTGGCCAAAGCAATTTAAATAGACAAATAAAAATTCAAGGAGTGGAGATACGGACTTTGCTTTTAATGAAAGGAAGCAGTAAAGTCACATTACCAAGATGCATGTAGACAGGAATGGGAGGAATTTTGCAAACATAAAACATAGGTTTAACAAGGTATATTCAAAAGAAATCGGGCTGGGCGCGGTGGCTCAAGCCTGTAATCCCAGCACTTTGGGAGGCCTAGGCGGGTGGATCATGAGGTCAAGAGATCGAGACCATCCTGGTCAACATGGTGAAACCCCGTCTCTACTAAAAATACAAAAAAATTAGCTGGGCATGGTGGCACGTGCCTGTAATCCCAGCTACTCAGGAGGCTGAGGCAGGAGAATTGCCTGAACCCAGGAGGCGGAGGTTGCGGTGAGCCAAGATCGCGCCATTGCACTCCAGCCTGGGTAACAAGAGCAAAACTCCGTCTCAAAAAAAAAAAAAAAAAAAAATCTTGCTCTTATTCTAGTCTTCACTCTGTGCCCTCATTCCCTCTATAAAAAGTTGTTTTTATTCTTGGTCCTTTTGTAGTACTTCTTTTTGTTTAAGCAAATGCATATATATATACACACACACACACATATATGTACACATAATAATTATAATTATATATATATTTGGATTCTACTCCCTGGAATATTCTTAAAAGGTATCATTTATACTGTTTTCACCTTGCCTTTTTGTTTTAACATATATCCTGGTGATCCCTTCATATCAGTTTATAAAGATCTTCCTTGTTTTTTGTTATAACTGCATAATATTCTATGGTATGGATGTACCATAGTTTATTCAGCCAGTACCTTATGGATGGGCATTTGTATTGATTGCAATTTTTGGTGAGTACAAATTATGTCAAAATGAATAACCTAGTATATAAGTCATTTTCTGTTTTTTGCCAGAGTATCTTTGGGATAGATTTCAGAAATGAAATCACTGGATCAGAGGGTCATTTTTTGTTAGAGGTTACCAATTTATCTTTAGAAGTGATACCATTTGCATTCCCACCAGCAGTGTGCAAAAAATGCCTCTTTTCCCACGTTGTTGAAGTTTTAAATTTTTATTGATCTGGTAGGTGAGTAGTAGTACCTCTACATAGTTTTAACTTTTAATTCTCTTGTTATGAATAAAGTTGAGCAGAACTATTTTTAATATTTAGTAGGAAAAAAGAGTAGGTAATCTAAATTTTTAACAATAGGAGAGTGTTAAAATAAGGTCTGAGCTGTGTATGTAAATTTTATGCTGCCATGAACATAAAAACTTATGTTTAAGAACTTTTAACAACATAGTCATTGCTTACAATAATAAAACAGGTTCTAAAACTGTTTAAGTAGTACGATAGCAATTCAGAAAATATATGAATATCAATTCAGAAAATATATGGATGGATTTATATAGGGAAAAAATATTAGAAGTAATAAACTGCTATGTTAATAACACTTTGTTGGGATTAGAAAAGTGAGATACTGTACTGAAGCAATAATATACGGTGGATATTGTTTGTGCTCCCAGTGAAGGACATTCACATTTGAAGGATGTATGAGTTAGTGGAGAGATCTAATGAGGTACCTTATTTCACTTTCTTACCTTCTCTTTGATTTCTAGTCTTTATTTGTTTGTTTTTGCAATCTACTATCCTGTAAAGAATGGGTTTATTGGCCAGGTGCGGTGGCTCATGCCTGTAATCCCAGCACTTTGGGAGGCCAAGGCGGGTGGATCACTTGAGGTCAGGAGTTCAGGACCAGACTTGCCAACATGGTAAAATCCGGTGTCTACCAAAAAAAACACACAAAAATTAGCTGGGCATGGTGGCATACACCCATAATCCCAGCTACTCAGGAGACTGAGGTAGGAGAATCACTTAACTTGGGAGGCGCAGGTTACAGTAAGCTGAGATCATGCCACTGCACTCCAGCTGGGACAGAGCAAGACCCTGTCTCAAAAAAACAAAAGAAGAAAGAATGGATTTAGGGTACAGAAATCTACATGAGTAGAGCATTTTGGACCCTTGGACCCTGTCATCTCTGCCTTTTTTCTAACTGATTGACTATTGCCCGAGAAACCAGATAGGCCTTCCCAAATTAGAGCTGAATTCAGTATACCTGTAATGCAGCTCTAAATGATGTTATATATGGAGAGCGAAATATTAAAAAACAGGGAGTTTTATATGTTTTTCAAAAATTCTTTATTTTTAGAAATTATTTTTTTGAATGCAATAGTATGCTTAATGATATTCTTAGAATTTCTATGACAGAAGCTAAGAAGGCTTTTCCTAAAAGCTATAATCATGTAAGATATGAAGTAACTCTTTTTTTAATAGTAGTTTCAGTTATTCAATGTGTTTGAAGATAGCTGAAAGCCCTGTGTTCAACAATGACTAATACAATAACAAAGTAATGTACATATCACATTTTGCCTCTGAAGTAAGACTGACTGGCCTCACACTTGGGCCACCACGTTAACCTACCTGAATTTTGGGTCTTTTAGAATAATAAGGTTAAGAATATTAAGAATTTTATAAATATTAAATTAAATGTCATTATTTAGGCACTGTTTAGGACAGTACCCAGTATGTAATAAGTAAACATGCAACTCCTAAGTCTTATTTCAAATTTAATTCAAGTTTTGTTTGACCAGTAAAAGTCTCTGCTCTGACCAGAGTATTCAGAAGTGCAACTTGAATCCAATGACTTTTGCAGGATTTTTTTGACAGTTCCTTCTTTTCAATGGCATTGTTTTTGTCTGGCAGAAATTACAGTTGAAACAAGTACTTTGTACCAAGAAAATACTCTTTCTAAATTAAAAAGATAAATTTTATTTTAGACTCGAATGGAAGTCAGATTTATTTTGCTTTAAATGGCCACAGACATGTCTTTTAAAGCTACTTACCTAATTCATTAAAATACTTAGTTTTGGAATTCTTCAAGTAGTCTAATAATCAGGTAAAAACGAATATTTTCAGTATGTTTAATAAATTTTTGTTCTACTTCAAAGAAATAAGATTATCATTGTAAATTCTTTGTAGAATTTTGGTTGTTGTGGTTGTTTTGTAGAGAAGATTGTTAAGTACAGGCAAGAAAATTCATTTAATTGTTATTCTGTCACCATACTTTAAAAAATGTCATTGCTAGTAAGTACTAAGTATTTTGGATTGTATAGGTCAGGGGTCCTTAACCCCTGGGCCTCAGACTGGTAGTGGTCCTTAGTCTGTTAGGAACCAGACCACACAGCAGGAGGTGAGCCTAGGGCAAGTGAGAATTACAGCCTGAGATCATCCCCCTGTCAGATCATTGGTGGCATTAGATTCTCACAGGAGCATGAACCCATTGTGAACTGTGCATGTGAGGGATCTAGGTTGCTGCTGCTTATCAGAATCTAATGGCTGATGATCTGTCACTATCTCCTCTCACCCCCAGATGGGACTATCTAGTTTCAGGAAAACAAGCTCAGGGCTCCCCCTGATTCTACATTGTTGTGAGTTGTATAATTATTATGTATTACAATGTAATAATAAAGTGCACAATAAATGTAGTGCACTTGAATCATCCCGAAACCATCCCCCGTCTGCGCCCCTGCACCCACCCCACCTGCCGTGGAAAAATTTTCTTCCATGAAACAAGTCCCTGGTGCCAAAAAAGTTAGAGGCCACTGGTCTAGATCTAAGAATTTGATTTAATAAGTAGTTTAAAGAAAAAAATAGGTAGAGATCTCTACACTAACCTGTGTGTGCCAATTTACTTTATTTCAGGGATCCTGCCTTTCGGATGATTACAATTACCAAGGAAACAGGCCTTGGCCTGAAAATACTGGGAGGAATTAACCGGAATGAAGGCCCGTTGGTATATATTCAGGAAATTATTCCTGGAGGAGACTGCTACAAGGTAAAAATACACTCCCTGTCCACCAAAAATACAAACCAAAACGACCCACCAGTGGTGAAGTTCATTTTTTCTACTTTATTAGTGAATTTATATCCACTGTGATCAAACCTCAGTGAAAAATACCAAGGAACTAGAAGATAATACTATGGCCCTCAAGGAGCTTTAAACTAAGAGATAATTAGGATCTTCTTATATGAAAATAATAAATATTTCTGACTGTAACATAAGGTTATTATTTTTAAATTATTTGCTGTTCACTTTTATCGTGTTATCTGGTTGAGAGAAATTATATTTGATGAAATATTGTCTTTCTACTACTTTGAGTTTTTATTATGTTGGATCAGTAGAACTTGAACTACATTCATTTAGCCTCTACTAAATGCAAAACAAAACGAAAACAGCAAACAAAATCTACTAATTTCTGAATTCGCAGTTCTTATTAAGCTAATGAGTTTTATCACTCATTAGCTGCCCACATGAAATTAGATTTAGACTTAATTTAGAATCCCCATGTGAAATTAGATTTAAACTTAAAACCAGAAAATATCTATTTTTAGGAATTAGGAAGTCTTACTCTCTTCAAAGTAAGAAATATGTTATATGAGGAGCTCCCTTTCACTTTGGTAGGAAGCTCAGACCCAAATTTGAAGCACAACCCCAGCAGTTTAACAAACTGGTTACTATATTTGAATTCTCATTCTTCTTGGGTCTCACTTGCTATTTAGGTTTTACTAAAGTGATTATGTGTCATTTTGCTGAAAATTGCTTCCATTTGATTTGGAGAGATATCAGATATAAAGAATTTAATAAAATTATATTAAGAATAAAATTAATAAAATATCTATAAAAATCAAGCTATATAGCGTGAGAAAGGATCCTCTTACTATTTTGTTATTATTTGGTTAAATAAATAGTCCTACTACTTTTACCCACCACCCGTATTTCTCTCCCACCACTGCAAACACTTGTTAAGTAAGCAGTTATCTTTTCAACTGGATTTTTTTGTCTTATTAGGGAAAAATTCCATTTGAAAAATAACTTCCAAAATAGTTGTAGTAATTTCAATTGTTTCAGGCTTGTTCAGATAATAAGGCATCTTCTAAATATACTTTTTTCTAAGTTCTAAGTGTTATATAGGCCAGCTGTGGTGGCTCATGCCTGTAATCTCAGCTTTGGGGAGGCAGAGAGAGGAAGATTGCTTGAGCTCAGGAATTTGAGAACAGCCTGGGCAACACAGTGAGACTTGAACGCTATTAAAAATTTTTTAAAAGTCAGCCAGGTTTGGTGGTACATGCCTGTAGTCCAGCTGCTTGGAGGCTGAGTATTGATTGCTTGGGCCCCGAAGATCAAGGTTGCATTGAGGCATGATTGTACCATGGCACTCTAACCTGGGCAACAGAGTGAGACTCTGTCTCAAAAAAAAAAAGCAAATTCTTATCACTTGTTAAGTACCTTGATCTATTATTGCATCATATTAAGTGTAGTTTAAGAAATGCCATAGCTATAGCTGCTTCCAGATGAAGCTGAACATCTCCTTCCCAGCCACTGGCTGCCAGAAACTCATTGAAGTGGATGATGAACGCAAACTTCGTACTTTTTATGAGAAGTGTATGGCGACAGAAGTTGCTGCTGACGCTCTGGGTGAAGAATGGAAGGGTTATGTGGTCCAAATCAGTGGTGGGAACGACAAACAAGGTTTCCCCATGAAGCAAGGTGTCTTGACTCATGGCCGTGTCCGCCTGCTACTGAGTAAGGGGAATTCCTCTTACAGACCAAGGAGAACTGGAGAAAGAAAGAGAAAATCAGTTCGTGGTTGCATTGTGGGTGCTAATCTGAGCATTCTCAACTTGGTTATTGTAAAAAAAAGGAGAGAAGGATATTCCTGGACTAACTGATACCACCGTGCCTCGTCGCCTGGGGCCCAAAAGAGCTAGCAGAATCCGCAAACTTTTCAGTCTCTCTAAAGAAGATGATGTCCACCAGTATGTTGTAAGAAAGCCCTTAAACAAAGAAGGTAAGAAACCTAGAACTAAAGCACCCAAGATTCAGCGTCTTGTTACTCCACGTGTCCTGCAGCACAAACGGCGGCGTATTGCTCTGAAGAAGCAGCGTACTAAGAAAAACAAGGAAGAGGCCACAGAATATGCTAAACTTTTGGCCAAGAGAATGAAGGAGGCTAAAGAGAAGCGCCAGGAACAAATTGCGAAGAGACGCAGACTTTCGTCTCTATTCAGCTTCTACTTCTAAGTCTGAATCCAGTCAGAAATAAGATTTTTTGAGTAACAAATAAATAAGATCAGACTCAAACAAAAAAAGAAATGCCATAGCTATATTGAACAAATACACACACAAACACCCAGCTTTAACACTAAGGTAATGCCTCAATTCTTAGAAGAAAAAATTTATTTTTCTGTTGGTTTGAATATGTTTAAATTTAGCTTTTAAAAATGTTCTTGAGTAATAATTTAAATTTAATTGCCAAAAATTATACCATTTTATTGAAATTACTAAATATTATAAATTATATGTGTGTGTGTGTGTGTGTGTGTATGTGTGTATATATATATGTGTATACATATGTGTATATATATATAAATTTTGAGACAGGCTCTTGCTCTATCATCCAGGCTGGAGTGCAGTGGCACCACCTCTGCTCACTGCAACCTCCGCCTCCCAGGTTCAAGCGATTCTCCCACCTCAGCTTCCTGAGTAGCTGGGATTACAGGCGTGTGCCAAAACTCCTAGCTAATTTTTGTATTTTTAGTAGAGACGGGGTTTCACCATGTTGGCCAGGTTGGTCTCGAACTCCCAAACTCAGGTGATCTGCCCACCTCAGCCTCCCACAGTGCTGGGATTACAGGATTGAGCCACTGAGCCTGACCTAAGAATTTGCTTTTAAGACAAACATCAATTTTTACTTCTTTATTACCATGAAAAATATTTAGAGTTAGAGTAATAAATTGATAGCTGTGGTGCTAAATTACTCTTTATCTTCTGTCAGTGATAGCAGATTAAGAAATTTTTCTTATGATATCTACTTTTTCTTGTTAGAATGTCATTGAAAGTATTAAAAGGCCAAATCTTCTAATTGACTATATTCTCTACTCTCCACTAGAGGGCAGCACAGAGCTACTAATGTTCTCCGTAGCTGGTCTTGATTGACAAAAGGAAACAGGCAAGATAGAAAAAAGTTTAAAAGAGGAGTACCAGGGATAATGGCTCATTCCTGTAATCCCAGTACTTTTGGAGGCCAGGAGTTGCAGGTTTCAGTGAGCTATGATTACATCACTACACTCCAGCCTGGCCAACAGAGTGTCTCTAAAAAATAATGTGTAGAAGAAGAAGAAATAATTTTCTAGTGCTTACATTATTTTAAAATATTTTCCCAAGATGGAGCACTCTATGCATATGCATATTTATCCTTCAAATACAAAATTGATATAACTTTATTTCAAAACAATGTATTAATACATTTACTGTATTCTAAATACTGTTTTAACATGTTAATAAATTTCTGGTCTGCACAAAATTTCTGCATAGTAGAATTTGTAGAATAGGAAACACAAACTCATAAGGTTATCCTAATGAAGTTGCTGAACTGAGTAACTTAATATTTTTTAAATGCATGTGAATGCTTTAACTTTCTGTGATTTTGTTTTAACATTATAATGTTTCAGAATTAACAATATAGGCAATATCAAGCTTATAGCTAGATTATATTTTGTTTGTATTTTCAAATACCTCTAACTGTAAGGGAGTTATTGGCACTCAGAAGGAATTTTCTTTAATTATTCATGGTTTGCAACCACCCACCCTAAATGTTTTCCTCCTGGAAAATATGAGAATAAAATACTGGACTATGCAAAATACTATGTTCTTTGAAAAACATATCTATAGTTCAAATATGGGATATTATAAATATATCTTTCCAGTTCAAGTAGAACCAAGATTCCCTCAGCTCTAAGAGCTAGAGGCATCCTATAAATTGAAAACAACTATATTAGTTGCTAAGTTAAGGAAATAAGAGAACTCCAAGGCCCTTTCATCCTGTCAGCTAGTCCCATATCCATCTGGGATCAATGTTTGACCCTTTTTCTGACCTGGACACTCCTTTAAGCTTCATACCAACATTCAATTCCCTGAACAACATTTTTACTTGGATCTCTTAAAGGCATCTCAAACTCAACATTTCTGAAGCAGAACTCATAACATTCATATCACACTGTATTCTACTTATCTCTTCCCAAACAGAGTCTCTTCCAGTTTACCTAGTCTTGGTGAATGACAGCTTCCAGCTACATAAAGTCAGAAAATTTAATAGCTTCCTATTTCCACTCCCATAACGCTATTCAAATCATTAGCATACATTGTTGACTTTTTTACTCTCTAAATATCTCTTGAATCCATCAGTTTTTTTATCTTCATTCTCATCGCTGGAGCTTAAAATGTCATCAGTTTTTATCAGCCCTCTCAGTAGCATCATTTGTTCTCATGCACCATACCTATTTCCTTCCCAACCCATATTACTAATACTTGGTTGCTTACAAGGTTCTATGGAGTGTGGCTTCTGCCCTCTCCTTCTCTGACTCTCCATCCCTGTGCTTCCAGAGCAGCATTTTCTCATTTCCTAGAATGGGCCATTTTTTTTTTTTCATCTCATATGCTGTTCCCTTAGTCTGGAAACAGCACTTCATTTTCTTTCCCCCATTATTGCCAGATATCAATTGAAAGACTACTGCCTAAGGATTGTGTTCCCTGTTTTTTCCCCAGTCTAAGCTGAGTTTCATTTTTACTATACGTGCCTCTAAATTCCATTCCTTTCCTTTGTGTCACCTATCTCATTTGTAATGATATATTTATGATTGTTTAATCAACACTTCCTGAACCACAAGACAGTATGTTTCTTAAGGGCAAGGATGCTATCCAATTTTATTCACAGTATTATTGTTAGTCCCCAGTGTGGTGGGGACTAACACATACATACTTGCTCAATTTATATTTATGAATGAATGGTCCTATAGTCAAATTTTGTCACATTTCGGAAGATTACTGATCTGCCTGTTTACCCTTCCACTGGCACCATTTTGGCTCCACGCCAAGGTACTTCCTTCCTGGACCTTTAAAGTGTGTCAGATTTTCGACAACACTTCAAAATTCTCAAATGTTTATTTTTATTTCTTTCTTTTGTTGTTAGTAACATAGGGGAAGCAGACAAATCAAAAGCCTCACTTAAAATCTGATCGTGTATTTTATATTTTTTTTAGTTGGTCCTAAGACATACACTAAAACGCATACATGTAAGCTATGCATGCACACACACATATACATAAATATATATAGAAATCATATGTATATAGGTATGTAATATGCTCCTGAGTGTGTATAATATTTCCTCTTCTCTCTCTGAAATTAGAGGTCCCACAATCAATGTTGTCATATAATCGGTGGCTTTTTTTTCTCTCAATGCTACATAAAGTAATGATTTCTTACGATTAGTGGCATCTTAAATTTGATAAATTCAGGACTTCTTTTGTCAAGCCCTATAGGTGAGAAAAAGATCACATGGATATAGATGCTAATGGTTAGTAATTGTTCACAAATGATTGAAGTAGGACACATTTAACTTTCAGAGGAGATCTGTTTTTATGCCAAGCATAGCACTGGAACCTGGGCCAACGCTTTTAGATAAATAGCAGGATCAGGCTTCTGGATGGCAGACTGTGAAGAAACCAGTCCCACTGGTGGGAGCTGAAGAAGTAGCAGCCAAGATGGTTCACTTTGCAGTGTCACTGTCTTTATTCCTTTGCCATTATTATTTCTGTCATAGCTACCTAATTTCCTCAGACTGTTTCTTGGCTCCCTTTAACCTGTTGTGGACTTACTATGTACCTAGCACTGTGTCAGGGAACCAGTCATGAAAAGGACAGAGTTCTAGTTCTGGGTAACTGAAAGAATCGATGATTCTGGTCCATTAAGAAAATCATTGCCCCTAGTTTGGGAGTTGCTGATGTATTATATCTTAATGCTGATTTATTATATCTTAATGCAAGGGCAGGGTAAAGCAGATATGTAAACATAAGGACTGTAGAGAGTAAGTGCAATCATTTAGGTAAGTAAAAGTGTTTTTTGAGCAAAGAGACAGAACATTTCAGTAAATTTGGGGGAACTGGAGAAAACTTGCAGCAGGGATAGTATTTGAATTGGACTTTGAAGTTTAAGTCAGAGTTTATCACAGAGAAGTGGGAGGGTAGATGGTGGCATCCTAGATAAGAATTGGTATGTGTGAAAATACTGAGGTTCGAAAGGCCATGGCTGGTTTGAGGCACATTCTCTGAGAGTAGAATGAAGAATTTATATGCTTATGTGGAAGGTGGATGGTGAAGTTAGAAAAAGTAAGTTGCAGTAAATTTGTTGTGCTGGGTTTGAGAAGTTGAAGAGTTTCAACTTTTTTCTACTAGTTGGCAACCATCGAAGGTTCTCAGGTTGATGACTAATGTAATTTGCTATCAGTATGACAATTGTTCCTAACAGATATGAAAGTTTCATTCACCTCCTCTTTTTTAGCATCTGTAATGTACTATAATTTGCATATATTACTTAATTCTTATAGAAATTTTGTGTTGCACGTATTTATCTACACTCTACAGCTAAGAAAATGGAGTCTCATAAAAGCTAAACAACTTGCCTAAGTTCACAATAAGGGTAGCGTCAGTCTGCATCTTGTAAAAGTATAGGAAAAGAATCTTAAGGCTTGCAGAAAGATTATTCCTTAGTATTAGGTATAATGAGTTAGTTAAAACAGAATCAGGCTGTATAGATCGTTTCTAGTAATATTGAAATATATTATTTAGAAAACTATCTACCAAGGTTATAAAATTATAAATGAATAGTACTGGTTGTTTTTAACAGAAATGTTTAAGTGGTCAGGAATATATTATTATTTCAACCTCTGCATGAATGTCAGCGTGAAAGAATTCACATCTAAAGTGCAACATATGAAAGTGCCAGACATATTGCCTCCCATGTCATATAGTTGCTCCGTAACTGCTGCATTGGAATGTAGACTGTGTGGAAGAGGTCTCAACATATCTCTGAAGTTAGTATTTTCACATATACATTAATCCAGCTGGGGCAGAATGCACTCGTTTAGAATGCCAGACTTACAAAAATAGCTTTGTTTTCATTTGCAGGTTCTGACTTTTAAACAGGTTCAGAAATTCACATGATCAGCTAAGATCTTATTCTAGGAGGCAAAGAAAAAAACTAACTGCTATGAATACTTTTTAGAAAGAAAAAAATATAATATAAACACCAGAAGTCACAGTCAGAAGGCATTCTTCCTCTCTTCTCTGACTCTCATCTTGCCAGAAAATGCTACTTCAGTACATCAGTGTACTTTGATACACGATGGGTTAAATTGCCTTCATGTGAGCTTTTACTCTGCACTAACACTGCATGTTGTGTTGTCTTGTCTTTACCAGTTATATTCAATTACATATTTACATAAAATCCAAATCTGTTTTTAAATTATATTTTTTATATATATAACATAAATACATACATATATATGTGTGCATAGTACTTTGTTCTTGTTGTTTGCTTTTTTTGAGACAGAGTCTTGCTTGGTTGCCCAGGCTGGAGAGCAGTGATGCAATCATGACCTTGACCTCCTGGGCTCAAGTGATCTTCCCACTTTAGCCTCCTGAGTAACTGAGACTATAGACGTGTGCTACCATAACTAGCTATTTTTTTTAAATGGGGTGTAACTATGTCACCCAGGCTGATCTTAAACTCCTGGGCTCAAGCAGTCTTCCTGCCTCAGCCTCCCCAATGTTGGGTGTACAGATGTGAGCCACCATGTCTGGCTTATGTGTTTTTTAAAATTAAGTTGACTGTTTTGGCTTAAGTATTTTAAATAATGTTTACATTTCAGTAGAAAGGGTCGTTATGCATCTGGATCATATTTTACATAGTAGTTGAGATATATTTCTATAAAATCCTTTGATGAATGTTTTATGTTAATTTTGTTGTTTTCCTATGTATTCTTTAGTCAGTAAAAGAACGTATTTTTACAAAATAATAATACCTATTGTAATTTAAGAGTAAAATAACTGTGAATCGCCATTATTATAAATAATACAGTTTAGGTCAAACATCAGTATCGAAGGGATGTATTTTAATAGATAAGACTGTAAGGAAATATGTTTTCTTGAATTCGTGAAAATAACTTAAGTACCATCAAGGTGAAAATCTCCCTTTTCAACCATATAAGCTTTTTCTATAGTTATAAAAATAATGCTTTCTAACATTGTGCTAATGATAAATAGGGAAATACCTTAGGAACTGTAAAAGAAGAAAGCTTGTTTTAATTTCTAGTTTGAATTAAAAGAAAAGACAAAAATTGGGAAACTTACCTGTCAACTACATTAACTGTTGCCCTTGATATGCTCTGTCTTATTCAGTTAGGCTAGTTATGAGCAAGCTGGGCCTTAGCAAAGGCAACACCAGGCAGCCAGTTAGAACTGTCATTATTAGCAGGACACGGATAACAGTATATGGACAGCCAACTAGGCCTTCGTCATGGCGGATAGCAGGTCTAGCAAAAAAGATGATCATGAGCTGAAATATGAGTAGGATCAATATAATTAAAATCCTTGCCTGGGCACAGTCGCTCATGCCTGTAATCCCCGCACTTTGGGATGCTGACCGAGGTGGGCGGATCGCTTGAGCCTGGGAGTTTGAAACCAGCCTGGGCAACATAATGAGACCTCATCTCTACACAAAATTTAGAAAATTAAAAAAGAAAATTTAAAAAAGATCCTTGACTAAAGTTTTAAAAATCTCAATATGGGATGAGTCCACATTGAACAGTTTGGAAGGAGGAAATATGTGTAGGAATGCAGAGAAACTAAAGTAAATGAGTTTTACATTCTGAAATATCCCACAGTTATTTGGCCCACTTTATGACAGAGTCAGAGCTTTATCAGCCCATAGTGCTCAGTTTTTAAAATAGGTCCCTCCAGTATACTAGCCTATGTTCTACCATATTCAAAATTCTTTAGCTTGTAAATTTATTCATGGACTACGTAAACCATGCCATTTTACTCATGTATATTACTGAGCCAGACTCTTAAAATTTTTGTTTTTATTCTTTTTGAAAGCATTCTTCACAAAAACTTTTCATTGCTTTAATTGCATCAATTATTATTTTTTAAATACCTCGTTAGTTCCTTTATAAGTGTTACTGTTTTTGTTAGGATGGTCGTTTGAAGCCAGGAGATCAACTTGTCTCAGTCAACAAGGAGTCTATGATTGGTGTGTCATTTGAAGAAGCAAAAAGCATAATTACCAGAGCCAAGTTGAGGTAACTATACTATCCATGAGATAGAATGAGTCATTTAGGATGTCTCCTTGAAAGTAGTAATTTAAGATGTATTAAGTACTTTAAAATATAAGAAATATTTTTATATTCTTATATTTAAAATGTTTATATTTAAATAAAATTCTTATATTTAAAATATAAGAAATATTTTAAATAACATATAAAACATTATCTTGGAATTCAGTTGTAGTATATTCATAACATGTCCATAAAGTGATTTCTTTTTAATATTAGGTCAGAATCTGCTTGGGAGATAGCATTCATAAGACAAAAATCTGACAACAGTCAACCAGAAAATCTGTCATGTACATCACTTGCAGAAGCTTCAGGAGAATATAGACCTCAAGCCTCAGCATTTAGTCTTCTTTCATCTCCTTCTGAAATACTAATTCCAAAGACCTCATCCACTCCCAAAACTAACAATGCCATTTTACCTTCTTGTGAGGTAAGTCATGTAATCTTAAATTTCTCTACATATACACTCCATAAATCCCCCATATATTTTTACATTGGTTAAGTACATATAGAATTGTTATTTCAGTAAAATTGTTAACAAATTAATACTTCTTTGAAAGATTTTTTTTCTTTTTTACTATTTAAGATTTTTATGCTGTGTATTCAGTACACATAGTTTAAGTCAGCATGTCCTGTGTCCAGAAGCGTGATTTGATAGACAATACTAGCATGACAAAACGGTTCCACAAAGATTTGCCTAGATATCACTCAAAACTATGTTAACAATGTCACATTTAATTTCGGTTGGTGTAGTTATTTGCCATTTCTGTTCTTTGCTTGACTGAAGTCAGGCTGTCTTCTTTGTTGTTCCTTAGCTTCTTTCCCACACACGGAGGCTAATCCCAGTGAATCCACTCTAGAAGGATATTGCTCCTTCATGTGTGTATGCTATAGTTCCCCCAAGTAGAATCACACAAAATGGGGAATTTCTATATCAGAATTAACACACTCAATTACTAACAGCTATATTGTCCTAAAAAATTGCAGTTATAAAGTGTATATTATTTATATCTGTGTTAGCTGTAAAATTGGAAAATCAGTAGAAGGAAATTTGTCAACGGTAGCTTCAGTTTCAGGTACATGCTGAACAGAGACAGAGTGTAAGATTTTCTGTCAGCCCCTTGTTCTTTGTCATTTGAAGCTATAATACTTTGAAAAGACAAGATGTGTGGCCTTATATTTTGTTATCCTTGGATGCGGAAGAGCTGCAAGCAATTGTTACCTTTAATTCTGAATGGCTTTGTTTGAAGATGCATATACCAAAATTTTATAGTTTCATATTTGAGGGACTATTACCTTAATCTCTTTAACCATTATTTTTATGTTAACACGGGCTTCGGGTGACCTACTTTAGTAAATAACATTGCGTGTTCCTCATTTTCTTTCACAGATAGAAACTGGATACAACAAAACAGAACAGATTCCAATTACTTCTTCAGAAAACAGTACTGTGGGTTTGTCTAATACAGGTAAATACACATTTAATTTGTCTTTCCTATTATTTTTTTCAATTCTCTCTCAATTAGGAATATGTAATGTGACTTAATAAGACTTTGAAGAAGGGTGCATTATGTCTTTGTTCCTTCAATGAATGAAAAAGCAAAAATAATATATTTTCCATTGGTCCCTGTGAAAGTATGACTTTTATTGGAAATTTTCCTGAACAAAGAGTTGAAATTTCAAAAGATTCATTGTCATAATAGTGTTTATGAAGCTATAATAATTAATGAATTGTTTAAGTGAAATGATGAGAAGTCTTCTCTAAGATCAAGATTAGGTTGCCACGTCCTTTGAGTGCAATACTGATGAGGCATATTAAATACACCTTTCAGAAAACACATTATAGAAGGGAGCATACCTTAAGAAAAGAAATGTATCTTGTTATTTTAGAAGAAATCATATGGATATAAATTAGAAAGAATGTCAGTATTGTGAATTCATTATTATTGATTCTTAATTACCATAAAGTGATTTACTGACTTTTTAAAACAATAAATAATTGATTATCTAAGCCAAAGATAAAATAAGGATTTTTATTAGGCTTGCAGGCTCAGTATCAGCAAAAAGTCTCCCGAAATTATCTCCGAAAGTGAAACACAACAATGAAAAAAAGATTAAAGATAACAGAAAAACTAATTACATATGCCTAATTATAATGCAAATTTTCACCTGTATATTTTAATTTTATTTTAATAGCATTATTGATATAAGAACTGAAAAATAAGGAAGCATTAATTTAAATTAAATAGCTAACAACCTTTATAGGAGTTTATACTATATTCCATAGTAGTTTGCCCCAATTTGGGGTGGGATTTATCACTAGGTTAATACCATTCTTCAGCCATGAGTTATATTCCCTTTTACTTAGTGAGATTTATTGACCCTTGGAAACTTTATTAGCATTATTCCTCCTTCATAATTAATTTCAAGTCTCTTGATATACTGTTTTTATTTTAAACTGGGAACCCATATGGGGAGAAAAAGATAGACGAACGAAACCAACAGTCATGAGGTGAGGATCAAAGTTGCTAGATGATGGAAGTCAAAATCCTTTATTCCTTGATTATATTATAAAATATTAATACTTTATAACTTTTTTTAATTTTTAAAGTAATTGAACTATTCAATGCCTCTTTTAACCATTTATTCAGTAAGGATTTACTATGTTATATGTGAAGAATACAGTACAACAGAAATTAGGAAGGAATTAGGATATTTTCTGTGAGACACTTAATAGTATATTGTGAAATAAAACATGGGGCTAAAAGTTCTAGTTATTCAAATTAGAAAACATCCAAATATATATGCATGTATTTGTTTATAGATGTGTATGTGTGTGTTTATTTTATCAAATAGCTACTATTTGCAGTTTTCTGTGTTAATCAGAACAGGATGTGGGTGGTTTTGTTACTCTAAAAAGCATTCTTTCTTGTGAATGAATAACACATTTACACAAATTATGTAAAGACATGAACAAAGAGGCCTAAGTAGTGAGTGATATGAATATGGTATAAGGAAGACACAGTGGTAGTTACCACCAGGCTCTGAAGGCAGACTCAGTGTTCAAGTTCTTGTTTTTATCTTATTAGCTCTATAACCTTGAATTAATTACAAGTTACATGGGGTTGTTATGAGGATTAAACAAGATCATGCATGTCAAACACTTACTTTGTAATTAGTGCATATATGTGCTTACTAAATTTTTCTGTTACTAGTAATATAGACCCTATAGCCTAGAGTATAGCTCAGATAATATTCTAGGTCATGTTTATAGAGCAAAAGGAAAAGCTTGAATTCTTGATTCAATTTTATGTCCTCCCCTTGATCCCCAAAACTAGTATATAATAAGGAATCCATCACAATATGCAAAAATTAATTTGCCAAGAAAAATTTCTTGGCAAAAGTCAGACATTATCCAAATCTTGAAAGAAGTGGAAGCAGAGGGGAGCGTGGAGGGAGAGGGAAAGGAGGAGGAAGCAGGAAGGAGGGAGAGCCAAGAGAATAACAGGCCATTCTTGGAAAAACTACCTTTCCCAGAGAGGAACAAATAAAGATCTTAGGGCTGGGATAGAGAGATATCATTGGCAGATGAGGAAAACTGTCTATGAAGGGGCTTTCAGGTAAAGCTACTCTGAATTGACAAAGTATGCTGGAGTTATACACAGACCCTCTTAAGATTTTAACTCAAAAGTAAAGGTGTAAGTTGTCTGGGAAAAACGAGATTTTGTTAAGCCCAGACTGCATATTGTTAAATGAAGGTTAGTATAATGTTACATTAACTCTCCTTATAATAGAGTGTCTCTGTGTTAACGTTAACAATACTTTATAAGTTTTTACGGTAATTTTCTATTATATTGTTGACCTTTTAACTCCTATAAGGCAGTCTGGTTTATTCCCCCTAATTTACAGATGGACAAACTGATTATGAAAGATGTTGAACACATTTAAGAACATTGGTCTGGTGTCATAAGAGATTAGACTCCTAACATTATCATGTACTAGTTATGTGACCTGGGCTAATTTCTTTACCTTTTCTGGCCTTGGTCTTTTATTTTGGGATGGGAGTAATAACCCCTATGTCATTGTGGTCATTGTGAAGATTAATAAGCTTATATAGGTACATAGTTTACTGTTTAGATAGAAGTAAGCATAAATAGGAGCTTCTGTTATTTTCAGTGTTAGATATAGCAAATTTTAACGCTTAGATGTAGGAAAATGTAAGTGAGAACACATTCCTCAGTGTTGCGATATTGTAAGTGTTCCTGTCTCACCTTCTCTCATTCCCCTCTTCCCCACTTGTTCTCCCCACTGCAGCCCTTCTAAACACTTAACACTTGAATATTTCAAGCCCAGGTTTAGTCTTTGAGATCATAACCAGGTTCACTTTGGGCCACCTGGTGTTAATGTGCCTTAATTGCAGGCCAAGCACCAAGCTGGAAGTCATTGGCAGGCTTCATATGTCCAAACCTTAAAGGATGAAAAATAGTTATCTGCTGGTTGGTCTTCCATATCATTCTACTCCATGCTGATCTTTATGCTACACTTTAGGTTTGGCACAGAATTTCTCTTAGGAAAGAAACAAAAATTATATGTGTGTGTGTATGTGTGTGTGTGTATATATATATACTTCTACATACACACACACATATGTATACCCATACATACACACACGCACATATATAGCCACACATACACGCATATACATATATACACATATATGTATATATAGAATTACATATATATGTGTGGAATATATACACATACCTGTATATGTATATATATGTACATGTGTATGTTTGTGTATATATATACCATGTATATATTATTTTTAATCTCATAGCCAACAATTAGGTATCATGATTACAAAGAAGATTTACTTACTTTTCTCAGAATTGTAAAAATTCTATTTAATACTAAAATTAGTCTTTTTCAAAGTTTAATTCCATTTGAAGCTAAAAGTCAGCAACCATTTTTTATGATCTTGACACCTATAAGCTATATTAAAGATTTTGCATAGAATGTTAAGGATGTGTTAAAGGTTTAGAGGAAGACTATTTATTTTCATATGCACTTCTTATGTTCTTAAGAGAATGCAAATCATTTTGTACTTAGAGACAGATGCTATGAGAAATTTTAAAAAATTAAAACACTGCATAAAGATGTGACATTTTCGAAAGATTTTTCTTCTTCCTCTTGTTTCTATGTAGAACTAGTAAAATATCATTTAAAAGTGTATTTAGAATAGTGACAATTTGGATAGTAACATCAACATGAATAATAGGAATTTGTTTTACAAACTTTGATACAATATTTCAAGTTCTGGTCTTTTGTAGCATCTTTTAAAATCATGCAATAAGGACAAAGGCTCATTTAAATAATGAGGATATATTGAGAAGATGTAGGAAAAATGGGTAAAAAGTATATGACTTTTAGCTCTTACAAATTTATTTATGCTACTTGAAATGTGACCTGTCTTTAAGAGGTAAGATGTTAGCTCCAAGTACAGAATCTATATTATACTTTATATGCAATGACTTGAAATGACTTGCATTTTTGGGTTTTTCCAGAGTACTTCCAGAATTCATATCACAAAACACTTTACCAGTCAAAAAATACCATGATCTTTTAAAATATCTAATATGATTTTACTTTTTTTGAACAAAAATACTTTTTGTCTTTTTAAGGCATTGTGGTGATGTAGTAGTGGTAGGATGTATGTTTGTCTTTTAAGTTAATATTTCTGTGGGACTTCACAATGCATAATTGGCAACTCTTACATCTTAGGACTTAAGTGAAGCCAGTTTATCTAAAAAAATTTGGACTTAAAAAAATTATGAAAACTGGCCGGGCTCAGTGGCTCACTTCTGTAATCCTGGCACTTTGGGAGGCCAAGGTGGGCGGATCACCTGAGGTCAGGAGTTTGAGGCCAGCCTGGCCAACACAGTGAAACCCTGTCTCTACTAAAAATACAGAAATTAACCTAGCATGGTGGCATGAGCCTGTCATCTCAGCTACCTGAGAGGCTGAGGCAGGAGAATTGCTTGAACCCGGGAGGCAGACGGTAAGCCCAGATAATGCCCCTACACTCCAGCCTGGGTGACAGAGTGAGACTCTGTCTCAAAAAAAAAAATTATGAAAACAAAACTAAAAGCCGCCAACCGATTAGTTAGAATTAGTTTTGAACAGTAGGAACCCAGAACATATCCTGTCAAATGAAAATTTCGATTCCAATTAAGTTCCCAATTAATGTGCACCCTATTGTCTCTTAGATGTTGCTTCTGCCTGGACTGAAAATTATGGACTACAAGAAAAGCTCTCCCTAAATCCCTCTGTTCGCCTTAAGGCAGAGAAACTGGAAATGGTAAATCTTCTAAATTTTCATTTTCCTTCCATAAGACAAAAACAGGAAAGAAGTACTCTCCTTCTTTGAGAGGATAAAGTACTGGAGTCATTAGTTTCTTGAAGTTACTTATTTACAGTTAAACAAATGGCAGTTCAAATTTAAATTATTTAATTCACATTTGAATTTGGTAGTTCATGGTGGTTCACTGTTACAAAATAGAAATAAAATCTTTTATAACTAAATTGACATTTGGATCAAACAGTTTTCTCCTCTGAGAATAAGACAAATAAGATTTTTATAATCTAGAATCAGTAGAAAGATGTAACAAATTATGGCAAAGTATATGAGGCTTCATAGAAAATGGCAATAAGTGAATCAATAATAGTCCATTATTCAAATTTTTTAAGGTAGAGGGAAACAAAATATTAAAGAACAAAATAGTCCGATGTCTACTAAATATACAGAGATGGTAGCAATATACCAAAGCACTAAAAGTAGTCCTGGGGAGAGGGAAACATTGAGACTTTCATATAAAAAAACTTAAGATGATTAAAAAAGAAAAATTAAAGGCAGAAAAGCACTCGAAAGTATTTCTTACCAGGTAACCAGGGATCTGAAAGGAAAAATGTGCCACATTAATTTTTTTAATGTGAAAGGAATATACTGCTGAAAAGTCCACAACCTCTACCTTCCTGTCAGTTTTTGAGGATAAAGCGTTACTACATTTTAGGAAGAGTATAAAAATGCATAGCTAAAATAAAGCACAGAATCTGTTTACTCCCATATCCATGTCTTTGCTTGGTCCTGTGATAGTCCTTTCTCATTGCCAGTTTGAATCTTATCTAAATTCTAACTTACATAGGGTAGAAAACATTTCTCACTCATCAGTAGATTCATGGCTAAGACACCTATAACAAAAGAAAGATTAACAAGAAAGTAGCATGCAGATTTATTTAATGTATGTTTTACGTGACATGAGAGCCTTCGAAAACCCAAACAAACTGGGACAACTGTATTTTTATGGACGGTCATACAGAAGTGTAATTGGAGCACAAAAGGGTATAATCTAATGGTAATAAACTGTGGGGAGCATAGCAAGGCCTGTTTGTTCAGATTCTTAACATCTCTGTGTCTTCAGAGTTGAAGATACTTCCTTTCCTCTGGATATGGGGAGGACCTCTCTGGAATGAGGGTCTTTTAGTCTACTTTTAGGGGAGGATCAGCTGGGTTTTATGGCCCACTTCAGGGGAGAAAAGGTGACATAAGGTAAGAAAGAGCTTCCTGCTTCTTTTTTGAGATTGAGTCTCGATCTGTTGCCCAGGATGGAATGCAATGGCGCAATCTCTGCTCACTGCGACCTCCACCTCCCGGATTCAAGCCATTCTCCTACCTCAGCCTTCTGAGTAGCGAGGTTTATAGACACACACCACCATGCCCAGCTAATTTTTGTATTTTTAGTAGAGATGGGGTTTCACCATGTTGGTCAGGCTGATCTTGAACTCCTGACCTCGTGATCTGCCCGCCTTGGCCTCCCAAAGTGCTGGAATTACCAGCCTCTTCTGCTGTTTTCTTAAACACCTAAGTGCCATACTTTGAGGCAGCATGTCCTGAACTTTGTCATTCAATTCCATCTCCTTCGCTGAGACTTTGCTATTTTAGTTTGGACCAATATTGCCTTCTTTTGCACATTAGTAGCACTTACCTTCACATTTTGGTGCCCTGTAATCTTTTCTGTATCTTGTTTTATCAATGAAATTATAAGTGTCTTCACCACAGACACAGACCTTGTAGTACCTACTAATGTTTAAATAGCTGGTTTGTGCTCAATAAAGTTTTCCAATGAATTAGATACTTGAGATGTCTCCCTTATAGTTTCAAAATCCTGAGTATCTTTTGTAACGTGTGCTTCTGTTTGTTTGTGGCTAAAATGTAAGTTCTGGCTAATGTGTGGTCTGCAATCAGTTAATAGTAACATTTTCAAAAATAAGAGTGTTTGAGATTTAAAAGCATGACTATTACATATTTAAAAATGAATGATTATTCAATGATGTTGATTTAATATATATTTCTGAACATCCAAGATTTAATACCAGTACTCTGGATAAGGAGAAATTTATCCAGCTAACTGCTTTACCTAGAAGACTTTGTTATTTTACTTGGTTTAAATTTTTCTAGCACATGATAATATTTTTAATCTGATTAATATTCTTAGAGGTATCAAAATGTAAATTTGTATTGATTCTGAGAAATATGAGTTGCTTGCCCATTAAATCAGAATTCCAGTTTTTGGTTCCCCTTTAAACCTAAACAAATGTTTTTTTTGGAAAAGTAAAATGGCAGATTTACATCAAAGAAACTAACATTTGATATAAATTCAAGCTTTCTGCTCTTAATCAAGATAGACTTGTTAATTTTATTTGGTAGAGCATTCTTTGTTTTCAGAGTTTGAAACTATATCTCTCTGAATAACTTTTTTCCTAAAATCTATGTTAGCATCTATCCACCCAAATTGTTTCTTAAGCTACTCTTCTTATTTTGCATAATCACATATTAATGTCATAATATCAGTATCACTTCAGTTTGAAATAGGTTCTTCTCTTTTGGTTGCTATTTTGTAGACAGATTCAACTTCATTGTCCATTACGTTTTAACACATTGCTATTCACTAATAAGTAAAGCCAACATGATCAGGTATTTAAAATAATACATTTTTTTAAATCTTCTATACACATTACATGTGGCAGCTTGAAAATTGGTGTTCTAATGAAATTTCACAAGGAAAGGATGTTTACTAATTATGAATTTATTCAGTAATTAGCCTACTCAGTACAATTTTTAAGGAAGGCAGAGAGGTTAGAATTTGATTAAGGTAATTACCTGTCAAGACAATGTCATGTTTATATACACATGCAAACATGTTTATGTTCAGACATATGTATATATGTGGCATTGTCATGAAGTCTTTTATATTTTATTGGTTTAAGTAGAGAAATTTATAACAAGGATATACTAGAACGTGATCTATAACACTGAACTAGTTATTTATTCATTCCTTGTCTGTAAAATGGATTTACATTTGCCTCTTTCTATAAATACTCTGAGAATGATTTAATATACAGATATTTTGATGTTATTCCAGCATAGTTATTTGTAGTGATATGTTTCTTCAAAGTATTTCTATGAATAGTATATGTCTTGTTTGAGCTTAATGTTAAACTTATAAATATATATTATAAACTTAGCAAATCGGGATATAACTTCTTGCTTGGCTTGAAATTGAAATATTATACCTCTGCACTGTCTGTATATTTATACCTATGGAAGATGCTTTGGGATACAGATGCCATTTCACTGATATTTGCTTTTACCTCTTGCCATTTCTGTAACATTTGAAGAAAACTTTAGTGAGCAATGGCATACTCAATGTCTCATTATAGTTAATGAAATGTTCTTTGTATTAGGTTAAAAGATGTGTGACTAATATTGTAATGAAGTAATTTTTTAAATTCATCATTTAGACATTAGAAAAACTTCAGGACATTTGTCTAATTAACAAACTTATTTTTGCTTCATGTTAAAAGATGACCTTAGTCATTTAATAAATTATTGGAACCAACTTTTTATTTTACTTTTTTCCCTAGATATACTCTGCTTACATATGAAACCTACTTTTTGATGAAAAATGTTACTTCCAACTAAAACTTAAGAGCTTAGCTAACATGACATGTGGTGTTCATCTAAAGTGAATTTTACTTTCAACAAAACATTTATTACTAAGCTTAGCTCTAGATTAATGTACACTGTAGTTAATTGCATTGTGTAACTTTATTATTACATAATGTAAAAATTGCCATATATTGAGCACCTTCTATGATACAGTTTATTTGCTCTTTTTATAAAATTATTTTTATTTTTTATTTCTTTACATGAAAATATTAAACATATACAAGAATATACATATTATATACATACAATTTAAAGAATAATAAACACACATTTACTCACCACCCAACTTAAGAATCAGAACCTTTGATGTTGCTAATGTGTACCTCTCCCCAAAAGGGGAAATTTTGAGTTTGTCATTTCTGTACTTTTTAAAAATTTTGACTTATTTTAAATATTGCGAGATCAAAGAGTTAATTTTCAGTTAACTTGAGGTATTGCTAAAATTTTTACTTCTGTGTTTCCAGCTCCAGATAAAAGCCTTGGCTCATAGCATATGCTGAAAAACTAATTGTTGAATTAGTTCATTGTTTTCTAAAGTAGTTTTCTCAAGTGTCATTCCTACTAGTCTTATGCAAGAGCTCTCATTGCTTTATATACTTTACATTTATTCTGATTCTAATATAGTTTGATGTATTTCTACCATCTTATTTTTTAAATTTCTTTTTGTTCTCCTTTTTTATCACTTCTCTTCTTCCCCCTTTTTATTGTATTCTTTTGATTTGATTATGTTTGATTATTTTATTAATTGCTTTTGCATTTTGCTTTTTACCTCCAACTTGTTTGAAAATTATGTCTTCTCTTGCTATTCTTTTAGTAATTTCCTTAAGATTTGAACATGCATATTTAACTTAAAAGTCTAAAATTAATCAGAATTCTTTTGTACATACAAAGCCCTACAATATTTTAATTCTGATTACCTTGTTCTCAATTTATATACCTATAATTGTCCAATATTTTCATCTCAGCCTATCTTTTAGTCTTACAAATTATGAATTATTATCTTTGTTTAGTTTTACAAATTATACATTTTTATTATAATATTCTTGTAGTTAATGATAGTTCAGATTTGCCCATGTTTACTATATTCTTTATTCATTGGTCTATTTTGCATTTCTGACATTTTGGGGATCATTTTCCCTTTTCTCTAAGTAACCCCTTTAAATGTTCTTTTGGTATAGGTTGATAGAAAACTCTCATGTTTTTATTTTTCTGAAAATATTTTGCCCTCGTTTTTGAAAGAGAATTTTGTTGGGCACATAATTCTAGGGTCACAGTTATTGTCTCTCAGATTT